AGAGATGTCCCTGGAAGCCCTGAGCAGAATTGTCAGCATGGCCCAGGATACGAGATAGAAAGCATGACACTGACACTGATTGACAAGTGTTTCCAGCTGTGGTTCTGGTTTTGTTTTCTTTTTCTTTGTTTGTTTTCAGACAGTCTCCCTCTGTTGGACAGGCTGGAGTGCAGAGTCTGATCTCAGCTTATTGCAACCTCTGCCTCCTGAGTTCAAGCAATTCTTGTACCTCAGCCTCTCAACCTAACTGGAATTACAGGCATATGCCTTCATACCTGGATGATTTTTGTATTTTTATTAGACATAGGGTATCACCATGTTGATCAGGCTGGTCTTGAATTGCTGACCTCAAGCAATTCACTCACCTCAGCTTCGCAGTGTTGGGATTACAGGCGTGAGCCACCACACTTGGCCTTTCGTTCTGGTTTTTGAGAACCATCACAGAAGCGTCTCTCACTGGCACTGTGACAGTGTTCATCACATAAACTAATGGTCATCTTCTGTAAGTAGCAGTCACTGCTGTAGAAATTCCTCCTAGCGAGGAAATAATTCAGGCTTACTGCCTCATATATATGAGGCTCTTGACTGAACTCTTTTTTTTTTTTTAATTCTATACAGAATCTTGCTCTTGTTGCCCAGGCTGGAGTGCAATGTCGTGGTCTCCACACGCTGCAACCTCTGCCTCCTGGGTTCAAGCAATTCTGCTGCCTCAGCCTCCTGAGTAGCTGGGATTATAGGTACCCACCACCACACCTGGCTAATTTTTTTATGTTCAGTTGAGACAAGGTGTTCTTAAACTTTGAAGATCACATTTGGGAAGTTTAAAATAAGTATTGCTTTTTGTGTAATTTTTACACATTTCAATATTAACTATTATTTACCATCTGTACTTATTTGGAAAACTATTGGTCTTTATATTTTTTAGATAGCTCTTTAAAATCCATGATGGAGTTCTCATCACATGAGCACAGTAATACAGGAGAAGGGTTCTACACAGGGACATTGGAAAGACATAAAAGTTATCACATTGGAGATTTTTGCTTCCCAGAAATCAAGAAAGATATTCATCACTTTGAGTTTCAGTGGCAAGAAGTTGGAAGAAATGGCCATGAAGCACCTGTGACAGAAAATAAAGAGTTGACAGGTAGTACAGACCGACATACTCAAAGGCATGCTGGAAACAAGCCTATTAAAGATCAGCTTGGATCAAGCTTTCATTCACATCTGCCTGAACTGTGCATATTTCAGACACAAGGGAAAATTAGTAACCAAGTGGACAAGTCTGTCAGTGGTGCTTCCTCAGCTTCAACATCCCAGAGAATTTCTGGTAGGCTCAAAACTCATATTTCTAATAAGTATGGGAAGAATTTCCTCCATTCCTCATTATCCACACAAATACAGGAAACATGCGTGAGAGAAAAACCTTGCCAAAATAATGGGTGTGGCAAAGCTTTTAATTATAGCTCACTCTTAAGCAGACATCACATAACCCATTCAAGAGAGAAACAATGTAAATGTGACGTCTGTGGCAAGGTTTTTAATCAGAAGCAATACTTTGCATGTCATCATAAATGTCACACTGGTGAGAAAATTTACAAGTGTAATGAGTGTGAGAAGACCTTCACTCAGATGTTATCCCTTGTATGCCATCATAGACTTCATACTGGAGAGAAACCTTACAAGTATAATGAGTGTGGCAAGACGTTCAGTCAGAAGTCATCCTTTAGATGCCATCGTAGACTTCATA